GAAATCAGAGCCTTCTAGGTTTACGACAACAAACGCGACGTTTTGGAGCGAAGTTGAGCCGTTTTTGCCTTCCAGAAAACGCTTCTACTTTTGCGTCCGTGTCCAAAGAAGTCGTTTTGGAGCCTAGATGGACAACTGTTATCTTGATCGAAGAGGCCGTTTTGGAGCGAAGTTGAGCGTTTTTTCAGCCTCGAACATACAGCTCGTTTTTCTCTCTGGATCGAAGTGGCTGCTTTTAGGCCGTTTGTTGACTGATTTTGCTCCTTGGTCCAATAGCCTCTTTCTCCCATATATGCTTCTCGGCTGCGGCATCAGCATTCACCGGCATTTTTTTGCGCTGGGGCTTGCTAACCTGGAGCGGCTGCGAATCTCTATTGGCAATTGCCAAAGTATGTACTCCGTTTCGCATGTTCATCACTTAAACAACTTGGTTCTCACCAGACATAAGTTGCCTTGAGGATGGGTCGAACGTGATGATTAACCAAGAATTGGTGTGTTTTGTAGACAAGAGTGATCGCATGTATCCGTTCATACATGTTCAGGCAAAGGTTGTAACCACGTCGCGGACGGAGTGAGTTGATGGTGGGTGATCCGTTTAGGTCGACTGTGGCAGCGATCAGAGTGCTCAAGCCAGTGCTTTGCCGTCACCGCTTTTTGTCGCCATGTCCACTGCCCCTATGCAGACCAAGCGTAGACACTTGGCAGCACGTACCAACCATGAATTGCTATGTTGCACATGCTGTTGGGGGATGAAGGATGATGCATGAAGCGAGCAGTCGCACAGCCATCAGCGATTGCATTGTTGTTTGTCCACAGTGCTCTAGTCTGCTTGCCCGAAGGCCAGCAGCAAGCAGTCATTGCTATGAAAGCTGTGCTGAGAGTTTTGACGAGGACGAGGTGTGGTTTGTCCGTTATAAAGCAGTGGATTTGATCACGAAAAGAGCGACACAATGCAAAAGAAAGGGTACTGGCAGAAAGAAGCAACAACCATGCAACGATGTTTCAAGCAAAGTGACAGTTATGCCATTGTGCAAGCAACCCTCTCAGTTGCGCTGGCCGCGGGATTGGCCACCGCCGTGGCAGCTCCTCTGTTCGTGGCGCCTTCCACAGGCCGTCTAGAACTTGGCTTTTGTTTGTCGTCCATGACAAGTGTCGGGTGTGGCAGTGTTGGTATGCTGGACTTCCAGATGTCGCTTGTCGTCGCTTTCAGTCGGCAGCCGGCAGTGGCGCAGTGGTGTTGCTCGTTCGCGGTGGGGCCAGGCACAACAGAGCGGGCGACCTCCCTTCGTGGCAGCCGGGCGGCACCTGCGGCTGTGACCCAGACCGCACCTGGTGCCACGGCCACAGTGGGCGCGGCCGGTGCAGTCGTTGCCCTGGCGGCCCTTGGAGCATCGGGTGCCAAAGCCGGCACTCGCAAGCCTCGCATGGTCCAGGTGGGGGAGTCGTTTGAGCTTCTTGGTGCTGCCTCGAACACTGCCGAGATCTTGTGCCGCTGTCATTATGCAGGTCGCCCGTCAGTCAGTGGAGACCTTCCAGCAAAATGCGTTAGAGTACCCGTCATCCTATGAGAAGATCGCGGACGTGAACAACAAGGCTCCTGCACATAGAGCATGCATTGGTGATTCGTATGGCCTCCAAAGATGTTCGGTGTACGTCAGATCGAACTTCAGTTTGACCGCATGTCAGGAGAAAGATGCCGACATCATCTGCACCATCGGACCAAAATCTTGGGACCCCGAGGTGGGGAGCGGTATCAAAGCCTCAAAAAACCATAGGTGAATTGCGGGTGTGCAGAACATGGTCTAGTCGCTAGTCTAGCCTGCATCGCGTGCCCTCTTGGGAAAAGTCTTGAGGTTCTCGTGGAGCTCATGAAGGCAGGCATGACCGTCATCCGATGCAACATGTCGCACGGAGACCACGAGGAGACTGGAGCATTGGGCCAGAGTAATATTCATCCGTTGCGGTTCGACTAGATGGAGGTCAGCTAGACTTGAGTGACCCTGCAGGAGCAGAGCATGAAACTGGCCAACCTGGAGAAGGTGCCGGGGCGGGAGGGATCACCCAAAGTCCATCTCACCGCGTGCAGAGGCTTACGAGCTCGCTCCCGAGTTCAAGGGCAAGATGAAGGCCGGCGGCCAGCAGTTTGACCTCCGAACCAAGGGATCTGTTGTGGGCCGTTTGCGTGCTTGGGAGTTGCTGCGAGGTCCAATGATTCGTTTCGTTGTTAGTATATTGTGGGGCTTCTTCTCCAAAACCTGTGACCATCCGACCTGGCTCGTTTCTTCGAGCCTACTGCCCAGATCCTGATGGACACCCGTGGCCCGGAGATCCGCACCGGCACCTTCGAGGCCGGCGCTCTTCGGGAGTCTTTGCAGTTCAGGGGCATGGAAGGCCCTGAGCGTTGCATCAGGACAGCTCCAGGCCCTTAGCCCCACCACCGACATGCGATAATCGGTTGGGCTCCTGATCTGAAGACTTGCAAGCAGGTCTACAACTCCAAGAAGGAGCTGAAGGCTGGCCAGGACGGGCTTGCTGTTGATATCTGTTGATAGTCGTTGCGACATGCAGCTGGCGAGTGGTCTGTTTGGATGAGGATTTCAAGCTCGTCACTGACTACAGCCTGAAGGCTCCAGAGCTGGAGGCTTTGGCTCAGATGCACCCCAGCAACACACATGTGCCAGGGCGACGAGAGCATGGTCGCAATCACCTACGAGCAGCTGCCCAAGAGTGTGAAGCCAGGCCAGCGCATCCTCATCCAGGACGTGATGCGAGGGCGGCGGCGCTCTGTCGGTATCTGCTGTCTGCTTTTCCTGCCAGGACGGCACCGTTATTCTGGAGGTCGCGGAGGCCAAGGACGACGAGGTCCTCTGCAAGGCCTCAGGGACTGAGTGTGATCATGTCGGATGCGAGGGTTTAAAATGTTTCAACAGTTGCTGCGGATCGTGAGGTGGTCAACAATTGCAAGCTGGGTGAGAAGAAGAACGTGAATGTTCCAGGCCGTCAAGCCCCCCCGCCTGCAGTGCTTTGCGAAACCTCTTCTTGGCGCGGCAGGCGTGAAAGTGGACATCCCCGTTGTGGGAGAGCGCGAGATCAAGGCCCTCACTTTTTGTCGCTTTTGCGACATCTGCCGGGGTCCCATCTGCAGGACATCGAAGAGTGGGCGGTCCCCAACAATGCGGACTACATCGCCCTCAGCTTCGTTCAGATACATGGCACAAACCACTTCAGATCACCGAAAGTTTCGTACGTCGTGAAGCAGTGGCGAATGCTACTCGCGGCAAGGAGTGCTGATGATGTGAAGGACTGCCGCAAGCACTTCGGAGGCAAAGACATCAAGGCAAGAGTCGTCAACAGGACTGCTGCCTTTGTCATTTAACTATCATTATCATTCATGATTATTCTTGTCAGCTTTGAATCGCGCATGCAATCCAACAGACTCCTTCAAGCCTCCAGGAAGCTCAGTGAATCTTGAGGGGCTTCCAGCATGACCTTATTGCAGGTCATCTCCAAGATCGA